GACTCAAGGCCGGAAAGTTTGACTGTGCAGCAGAGATGTGCGGAAATTGCTCACGGTTTTATGCTATTTGCAGCAGGGCTCCGTCCTCATCCCGCTTTTGCTATACTTCAACTGGCATATTTTTCCTGATAATTTGGGTTGAATTCAAAAATTTCCAACCTGAGTGCTGGAGGTTGGTCTCTCCACAAAGATTATTCTTAAATAACAAAAGGCGTGGCTCAAATAGAAGAAACAATCAGCTATCGGGCCTTTGCCTGAAATTATTTGTTTACGCCCATTTGGGTGAGCCTGAAAAAAAAATTACGAATTTTCCACAGGGGCCTGAGGGGCTTGACGGTGAAGTTTCCACGGATTGTTATTCCACCGCACGGAGCCGATGGAAACAAAACGGTGGGCGAGAGAGCAAGAGAGAAAGTTGTATTTAAGTGTGGCGCTCTCACCAACTGGATGAATAATTGCCTTTGACACTTTGCGTCTTCAGTGGAGCACGAGTTAAAACCTACAATCTGTCAATGCAAATATGTTCCAGTGCGGGCACAAGCTGAACTTAGAAGATGTGTTTTTTTTTTCTTTTCTTTTTGCCAAATTGTCACATGTGCTGTTCAATTTACTCCTTGGTGTGGTCTGTAACTACAAATTAAAAATGAAGACTCTGACATACCCAATTTTGAATGCCAGCCTTTTTTTCAGTATATACAATATCATCATAAAAATTTGAAATGTGACATATTTGTTCCATTATTCTATAGTACAAGGGTTAAAAGAATTATTTTCAGGAACAAATAATTGAGTTACTGCTCTAATACAAGGCCAATGTTGAGTATGATTTTTGGTACCATGACAACCATCATCCAGGGTGGAGCGAGGGGGTTGCGACCAAACAAGCGGCCTCTACTAGATTGGAGTGTGAATTAAAAATGGAATGTCGATTAAAATCAGAGGCAGCACGTCAAGTAAATGTTTCCAATCAGCGTAGCAGACTCATGCCCAACACAAACACTGTTTTGGGCATTTTCTCATGGATTTTTGATGATATTGAGATCCCTGAACATTAAGTGGGACATATTTTCAATTACTTTGACTACAAAGAGTTGGTTCTCTAGTGTGGCGTTGTGAAATTAAACAGTAAACCCCAACTTTTATTCTCTTTTGGCTCGGGACTTCCAAAGAGACAAGAACGTGGCGTCACTAAATCAGCAGCTCTGCTTGTGAATAAACCCAGCTCGATGCGACGGTGGAGAGTGAACGTCTCAGTGTCACAATCATTAGCCGCAGTGTTTTTCCACGTGTTGTTTTCCAGACAGGCATCGTCCAGATGTGAGTGGGGAGCACGGAGAGCTTCACACATCTGCAAAGACTTGCTAAAGCTCTCGCGGGAGCCTGGAGAAAGGCAACCTTGAGGTACACCTTGCGTTATCCACTCCCCGCTCTCTTGCGGACACCAGTAGACGCGGGCCGTCATCGCCTCAAGCTTCAGTGGAATGAGGCGAGCAGGAAGTACATGAACACTCACCCAGAGAGGAAGCTGCTGAAGTTTTGCAGGTCGCCGGCACCCATAACAACATTGAAGCTGGTGATTGACTTTTCAGGCCGCTCATCCCCCTGTAACACAAATACAATCCCTAACATGTGTTCCAGTTGCAATTTCAAAAGACTCCCCCCCTCCTCATCCCCCCATTAGGAAATTAAGGGACCAGAAATAATATGTCACCATTGTTTCCCAACGAAGGTTGGACTGCGCCAAGGCTGCCCTTTTGTCACCGATTCTGTTCATAAGCTTCATGGACAGAATTTCTTTCGACACAGCCCAGGTATTGGTGCCCTCAATAGTGCAAGCCCTGAATAATGATCTCAAGGCAGTTCCAAAACATTCCCCCCTGTAACACAAATACAATCCCTAACTTGTGTTCCAGTTGCAATTTCAAAAGACTCCCCCCTCCCTGAATAATGATCTCAAGGCAGTTCCAAAACATTTTCATCCGAACAACTCGCCCTCAAGCAAAACGGAAAAACACAACAGGAAAGTTTTGCCTCCGAAAACATTGAAACCTTCCTCCCGGCATCCATTTTGGCGTTACATTACTGAGCAAACACTGAGGTTACCCGGAGATCCATCACCATGCGGGTGGGAACAGAAAAAATAAAAAAAATAAATAAAAAAAAAACAGGACAAAACGAATTTAAGTTGTATTAAAAGAGCGACGGCTTTGTGAAGAATGGCTTTCTCTATGTGCCACATAACTCAGCCGTGTAATGAAAACAAGATTAAGCTTTGGAACAAGTTGACCATGAGAAGCAGCTGTTCTCCTTTTTAATCCCAATAATAAAAACTTTGGGATACACAAAAGGTCATTCAATGATACTTTCATATCATTTTACAGTAATATTTCTTTTTTATTATAGTGTTGAAACCTGTAGCAGAGCTCAGCTGCTCAACTCATCACAGTCCGCCAAAGAGTTTGAAACTCTGTCACCCCCTCTTGGCCATATAACGCACTAGCATCCCTTTCGACTGAGACGTGGAAGACCCTGGAAAGGGAATTCAGACATTTATTCTAAGTAAGGCGGCCCGGTGGTCCAGTGGTTAGCGCGTCGACCTCATGGTGCAGAGGTCGTGGGTTTGATCTCAGCTCTGGCCTTCCTGTGTAGAGTTCTCCCCGGGCCTGGGTGGGTTTTCTCCGGGTACTCTGGTTTCCTCCCACATTCCAAAAAACATGCATGGCAAGCTGATTGAACACTCTAAATTGTCCCTAGGTGTGAATGCCATTAAAAGAATGCAACGGGAGTGTATTTCACTACATTTTATTTACTATGGGGGTGGTCTGGAACGCAACCCCTGCGATGGAGGGGATTTTAGTTTTACTGTATTGCAGATTCTTCGCTATACAGCGGGATTTTGCAGTGATTGTTTTCCCACATGGACTTTTGCTAATTTCACATGTAACAATAAGTGTGAGCCAGGAGGAAAGAGTGTCTAAAAGACAGAAAATGTCCAAAGTTCTTAAGAACAGAAGCTAAAGTGCAGTGTGACTAGTGGAAAGTCCATCCGTCTTTAGTTACTCAACTGCATGTCTGTGGGAAAGTAAACATTGTTCGCTAATTGAATGGTAAGAATGAATCGTAATCCACAGCAGGTGGTTTGGATAGAGCGGGGCTGGTGCTTTCAACCGCTTTATTGAACAAACGGCAGGAAAAGACAGCAAAGACAAGCACGTTCTTAGCCAAGTTCCTCAAGTGACGCAGTCACGCAAAGTGGCTAAAGCTCAACCCAGTAAACCGCATGTCACACTTGACACAATTTTCCATCAAGAAAAAAAAAATGGTTTTGAAAGAGAACAACGTCTAAGTCAACCAGCGTCATGACCCACCTTGACCTCTGAGAGCTCGAACTCCACCTGGAATTTCAAGTCTGAGCACTGACCAGACACACACATCTGCTGCACTGACTTGGTGTCGCCTAAAATAGACACAAACATAAACTTCCCTTGCCATTCATCAATATTTTTGAAACACATTGGTTTTTTTCATGAGAAAAATAACACTGAGTGGTATTTTACTCCATAAAACATACTGGAATAGCTATAATTGCTCATATAAAAACAGGATGTAAAGATGTAAACAGTTTGTGCATCACGATTTCATGCATGAATTCGATGGCCATGGTCTTTTCAATAAGTGCGCCTTGGCCAGAAGGAGGCAGTATAATACAGAAATACTCGGCAAGATCAGCTGAGGAAACAAAAGAAGACTGTCGCAACTTAAAGCTGCAGTAATATATTTTTGTTTTTCGCAGAGGATAAAGAACGTATGCCATTATGGTCTGTCTACATGCGTGACTACCACTCATGTTCAAATGGAAAATTCTTTAAGGGTTTAAAAGTATGGCAACGTTAATGCAAGTTTCTTTAACCTGTCTAGGGCGTTGGTATTGTGTGTTAGCATTAAGATGGCAGATTTTCACAAGGTTTTGTGATTTGTTTAAGATCCCTTGCTCTAAATCATTCATGGTTGGTAATGTGACTGTGAAGTCCAGGGTGTAGCCCAACTCCAGAAAGTACTATTTTTTCCCTCAAAATATGTTTTTGTGACATACTGCTTTCCAGAGTGCATGCAGTGAAGCTCCTCAAACTGATGCCGTTAATGTTGCTCTGACGCTCAAGATCATCCTCCAGCTGCTCCACCTCCTCCCTCAGACTGGACAGAACCACATGGGTATCTTCCTGTAGCGTGTGTCCACACACCAGCGATCTGTCACGTACGCATGCAGACGGCTGTCAAAACACTATCAGGTGTGCTGAGGAGCTTCTTTATGCTTCTTTTGGGTATTTAGTGATAATGACAATCATTATGATTTAGGTCATGATAATTGTGAAGTGAAATTTTCATATGGCTTCTATCTTTAGTTGCATGAAAGAAGTTTAAGCAGGAATAAAACTCACAGTGCGCGTTTCATTGATTGGCTAGAATGCAAGGTGAGTTCCTTCTGGTGTTTTTGACACTGGCCCTGCAGTTCCGCCACTTCTGCCTGGAGACGGCGAATGTTTTCCTCCAGCAGCATCACTTCCTCCATGTTCTCCTCATTCAGTTTTCCCTCCATTCTGATGGAACAATCCGGACAAATGCATCAAATATAACATGATGTACAAATTTGGGTAAGACAACAGCGTGTAGCAGAAACAAAGACGACAACTCCACTTATTTAATGATACCCCAGCACATGAATTGCAGAAAAACGGTTTGCTTAACGCAGATAACACGTAGACCAATGATATTAATTTACCCCGATGTCTGTTGTTGTGGATGACGTCATTGATGGCATATGAACAGACAGCTTTCCTTGTGTTCCAAAACACACACCCAGTGCCCACTCCCTACAGCGCTTTGTTGAAATACAAAATATAAAAAAATATAAATGGTTTACTTGGCTAACACTGGCTTAGTATAAGTATTATTAATACTTATACTAAGCCAGTATAAGTATTATTAATGCTTATACTAAGCCAGTAATTAATACTGTATTAATTAGTCGAAAGAGTACATTTTGCTAGCTAAACTGGGACGCCGACCAACTTTAAACACAACATATGTAGACAACGTCACGTCAAAATATTAACAGAAATAGTAGTCCATATTCATTATAAAACGCCTGACTAATATTTGTAACATAAGAAATGCACAAAACGGTAACTTACTCGGTCGATTTATTTTAACTTCCCAGAAACGTTTGGAGCCTCGCGCCGTGTGGACGCTACTACTTTGCCTTACGTCAGGGGGGTGCAGAAAATAATTTAATAAGTGCGAATATGCCTATATTTAGTTCCAACACAGTTCTTGTATTTAGGAACTTAAGTTGAAAATGAAAGATAATATGACTCCATAAAAAACACTAATAGGCCATAATAAAGAAAGCTATCCAAGATGCAGATTTTTCGAACTCCCTGAAAAAAATAACTCAAGAATGACGCCACTGGTCGCTCTCTTATTGATGGATTGAGCCTTGATTTTCGTCCAACTTCACATTTTAAGTGATCATAAATTCATTAAAATCAATGTGCTTTTATTTACTTTTTATTTATTTACGGTAAATTTTAATGTAGTACGGTGGTGGCGGAACTTTCGAGTGGTAGAGCAACACGAGCGGACTGTAATGTCAGCCCGAACCGTGGTGTCGAGCACTTTTCAATGTAACACCTGCTGAATCCATGTGAGGTAAATATTTCAGCAATTTCTCTGCACATGTGAATTACTTTACACGTTGGTCGTTTGGGTTGGTAGCACTTCGACTTAAATTTTTACTGTCGATGTCGTAGTTAACTTTTTACTTTAGCTTGGTTGGTTTAAAGCTACCAGGAACGAGTACAGTTGAATAACCACAAATGGTCACAGCTTTCTCGTTTTGCTTTGTTTTTGTTTGTTTATTTGCTGGATTATTATGGGCATTAACGTTTGACGTAGACATCGACGTGTAATGAGAGTGTGCGCCCACATAGAACCTTGTACAAATAATCGCTACATGTCAGACGATGTACTAGCTGAGTGAGCCAAGCTGTTAAAGAATTAGGGTTAAAGTCTAATGAATTAAAAACAATTGTATTTGTTCAAAGACTGTCACGCCAGCATCCACTTACTAAGGCATCAAGTTGCCATGATTATCATTATTGCAAATGTTTATAAATGTGTATAACTCTAACTATAGTACTTGTATATTCAGTCTCTTATTACCGCGGATAATGTGATTGCTGTCCTGTCCAATGCTGTCCTGTGCTCTACTGTAAAGTACTGTGTTGTCCTGTCCAGAAAGATGCAGCGTCTGTACGTGGGCGGTTTAAGCCACTCAGTCACCCAAAAAGATCTAACGGATCGGTTTGGCAAATTTGGAAACGTGGAAGATGTGGAGCTCCGGACTCGGCGGGATGACGAGGGTGAGCCTTGATTTCACATGAACACACCTGAAAACCAAGGAACAGCTTTTCCACCTTATTCCCATTTAGTCTTCAGACAAATACTAATTAAAGCACGGAACAAACAAAATGTATGATGCCATGGTCTTACGGCTTGAAGACAATTGGCTGGCTTCAGAAAAGCTACCAAAAAAGGAAGTCATTGGGATATTTTGATATATTCAGTCTCTTATTACCGCGGATAATGTGATTGCTGTCCTGTCCAATGCTGTCCTGTGCTCTACTGTAAAGTACTGTGTTGTCCTGTCCAGAAAGATGCAGCGTCTGTACGTGGGCGGTTTAAGCCACTCAGTCACCCAAAAAGATCTAACGGATCGGTTTGGCAAATTTGGAAACGTGGAAGATGTGGAGCTCCGGACTCGGCGGGATGACGAGGGTGAGCCTTGATTTCACATGAACACACCTGAAAACCAAGGAACAGCTTTTCCACCTTATTCCCATTTAGTCTTCAGACAAATACTAATTAAAGCACGGAACAAACAAAATGTATGATGCCATGGTCTTACGGCTTGAAGACAATTGGCTGGCTTCAGAAAAGCTACCAAAAAAGGAAGTCATTGGGATATTTTGATGAAAGCTTGTCACAGAAATATTAAAACAGCTGGGAACTGTTATTTTCAAAATTGACATTTTTTAATTTCCAGAGTAATCAAACCTGTGTTCCTTCCCAGGTGTTCCCTACAAAACATTTGCTTACATCAACCTCACCATTTCCAACACAGACCTGAGGAAGTGTAAGTGAATTTAACAGCAAGATATAGTCCGTTAAAAAAAAAAAAAAAAAAAAAAATCCAAATATGATCAAATGTGTTTGGTTTGTTTCTCAGGCATGACAGTGTTAAACAAATCCAAATGGAAAGGAGGAACGCTGCAAATTGAACCTGCCAAGGAGAGTTTCCTGCACAAGTAAGCGCATTTCTTTCCGGACTTTGACCCACTTTGCAGGTGCTTGATAATGTGCCCCTTGAGTTGATGATATTGTCGCCCCAGGCTGGCTCAGGAGAGGCAATTGGAGCAGCAGCGCCCCCGTCGGGATACAGACGACAAACACCCAAACGCCCCCAAGCTTCTGGAGTCTTTCAGCAAAGCCGGTGTGGAAAATTTCACAATGAAGGCGGCCGTGCCGGGCACAGAAATACCAGGACACAAGGTGTGTCTGCTTGGAGGTGTTTATCTGAACTGTTGTAACCATTCATTAGACTAATCATGTTGCGGAAAGTGTAATTGATGGTCTGGGCAATTAATCAAACACAAATTGTCATCGCAATGGAGAAGAATGCGATTTTTTATTATTATTTTTTTTTTCAAAACAGTTTTAGGGGTGGGAAGTTGTTGTGGTGAACGCTTAAAACAAAATATTACAAGTCAAAATGTTTAGTAAGTGAAGATCTCTAATGTTAATTTGTTTGCCTTTATTTTAGCCGAACCCTAACACACTAAAACATTTATGTGTTTACAAAAAAAAAAGATATGTTGACTGTTTTTCCTTTTCAGGACTGGGTGGTCAGTAAATATGGCCGCGTGCTGCCGGTCATGCAGCTACGCCGCAAGAAAGGCACCAAAACCTGCACCATCAAATATGACCCGTCCAAATACTGCCACAACATCCGGCGCTTGGACCCACGCACTGCCGACGCTGACCCTCCCACCCCCGTGGCCCAGCTCACCTGGCAGATGAACAGCGGCGACGATGACATCAGCAGGAAGAGACGAGGAGAGTTCCCACCGTATCGCCCACCAAAGCCCAAAAGGACTCACACAGATGTCCTCGAATCCATTCGAGCTGCTACCCAAGCCAGGTAACAAACCTTTGATGTTTTTTTTTTTTTTTTGCCTCAAGTCTTCTCGACCACCTCTTCCATCTCAGACCGGCGCAGGTTGTCAGCTGCGCCAAGCTAAAGAATCATCAGCCGATGAATGAATTCGTGCCGGCAAACGACAAGCGTCCGGCCCAGAGGAGAGAACGCGCACGTTACGAGGACAGCGATTCGGAAGAGGAGATGCGCCGGCTGGTGGCGCTTGAGCAGTCTTCCCACAATGCACCGGGGCGGGACGTGCAGGACGACAACCTGGAAGTGGTGGGAGACGACTACTTGGTCAAGTTTGGAGGAGCCCGGCAGAAGCGTCGAGGTCAAAACAAGTTTTTCCAAGTGTGAAGTTTGGGGGGAATTTGGATGTGTGATTTGGTCGAAGCGCAACAATTAATGAAGAAATTGACAACTCATTGGTTATCAGATTAATAGTCAGCTGTATCCATCATATTTTGTGCAATGCAATGAAACACTTTGTTCTTTCTTTGTTGGGAATTATAGGCAGCCTGATGAACCAAGATGAGGACGATTACGACTCTGCTGACACGGACGAACTCTTCACTTCAAGGAAACGTCCTGTTCCTCCGCGGGAGAACATCTCAGGAGAAAGGACGGCAGCGCCGAAGAGAAAACTTGGAGAGCAGGACAAAGGGACAAAGAAAACAGCTGTTCTTTCCAAGGAAGCCGAGGAGGACTCTACTGGCACCGAGGAAATGGCCACTTCCAGGAAGCTTTCTCTTCCTCAGAAGAAGAACAACATCCCTGAAGAAAGAACGGGAAAGGCGAAGAGGAAAACCAAAGAAGACAACGGGGGTTCGACGGAGATGATGACCGTCCATTCCGAGGAAGACGAGGACGAGACGGACTCTGCCGATTCCGACTACGAGGCCATGTTCGCCAACGTCACTCGTCTGGAAATCTCCCTGGCTGATCTCCAGAAGCTGGCCCAGGAAAGCCTGGAGAAGCGTCCTCCGCCGGATGCTCGAGTCTCGCCGGCACGCGTCCCCAAGCGAGGAACACTGCCCGAGGACATCCTGGCCGCCCTCCTGGGGGACGACGGGAGCGACGACAAACGGGAAGCCAAGAAGGAGAAGCAGAAAGGGAGGCGGGTCGCCAGGACAAGGCTTCCCCCCTTCCGGGGCACGGCCACGCTCGACGAAGATGCGCTCAAGAAAACGGACGTGCCAGAAAACACCAAGGACAAGTCGGATGGCTCTTCATCTTCATTCGACGAGGAGGCGAAGGCGGCAGCGGCGGTGCGCCGTCCGCGGCTGAGCCCACAGCGCGAACAGAAACAAGTTTCTCCTGACTCGGAGGAACTTCCCGTTTCCAGGAAACCTTCTCTTCCTCCTCAGAAGAACATCTCCGAAGAAAGAACGGGAAAGGCCAAGAGGAAAATCAAAGACGACGACGACGAGAGGTCGAAGGAGATGAGCGTCCCTTCCGAGGAAGACGAGGATGAGGTGGACTCTGCCGAATCCGACGATGAGGCCGTGTTCCCCAACGTCACGCGTCTGGAAATCTCCCTGGCTTATCTCCGAAAAATGGCCAAGGAGAAGCGAGCTCCACCGGATGCCCGAGTCACGTCGGCACGCGTCCCCAAGGGAGGAATTTTGCCCGAAGACGACATGCCCGCCTTCCTAGGCGACAGCAGTAGCGAGGACGAACGGGAAGCCAAGAAGGAAAAGCAGAAAGGGAGCACGGTCGCCAGGACAAGGCTTCCCCCCTTTCGGGGCACGGCCACTCTCGACGAGGAGGCGCCAAAGACGACGGGCGCGCCACAGAACACGACGGGCGAGTCGGATGCGTCGTCATCTTCATCCGAGGAGGAGGCGGAGGAGGCGGAAGAGGCGGTGGCGCTGCGCCGTCCGAGACTAAGCACTCGGGAGGAAGAGGAGCGTCAGAGGAAGGACAACAAGAGGAGACTGGCGGCCGTCGAGCAGAGGCGAAAGGAGGCCCAGGAGCACAAGAAGCTGATCCAGGGGGCGCTAGCCAACCTGGTGAGTTCAGCGTTGCCACATCACGATATTATCAGCATCAAATGTCACGACATTTGACTCTTGGAAGGTGTTCCGTGTCATTCTTCAACCACGTTTCTTTTTATGAAGTTATTTTAATCTCAATTTGTTGTTGTTCTTGCTGTGGTTTTATGTAATTCTTGCTAAATTGCCGCTGTGACCTTTTTTTTTTTAAAACTTATTTTTCATAACTTTTGTTTTTTTTCCTGCGAGATTTAGATTATACTCGGTTTTTTCCTTTATGATGTTTAAATTTTACTCTGAGAAATTGTTTTTGTTTTGTTTTAACTCATAAAATTACATCATCATTCTTGTAAATTTAGGACGATTTAAAAAAATGTTCTCAATGAATTTTGTCTTTGCATCGATTCCGGATCTGCCCTCGTATTTTTGCTTGTACGTCAGGATTTCATAATAATAGTAAAATATGTACCGTATTTTCCGCACTATAAGGCGCATCTAAAAGCACTCAATTTTCTCAAAAGCCGACAAAAGCCGCTTTGTAATTCAATGCGCTTTATGTATGGATCAATATTCTGATTTCCTGGACGTAGTATTTTTAAATGTTGTGTAAAGCGCTTTGTTGCAGCTGCAGCCGTTGCGAAAGCTCGACATGAATAAACCTGTATTGCATTGCATTGTGTCTCCCTTAGCGTAGCTCCATCTAGTGGATGCAGACCGCAACCGCAGCCACTATTGTAGCTTCTATGCGGCTTATATTGCGGTGCGCATTTAGGGACACATAAAGCCGTATTCAAATTTTCAGTCGACCCGTGTTGAAAATAATCTTTTGTCATTGAGGATGCTGTGACTCCAAAAACGGGAAAGCACATCGTCTTCAATTTCGACGACGACGATGAGCCCGCGGCGGTCGCCGCCGATGACAGCGTTCCGGCCAGAGACAAGGTGAGCCGCACGCTTTTAACCGGCAATTTCAAAGAGGTCGGCGGGCTCCTTTCCATGCGTGTTGCGTTCAGGCGCGCGCCGCGGCGTCAGGGCCTCGGCTTTTCGGCAGCAGTGAGGATGAGGAGGACGGTGATGACGAGGAAGACGGCGGCAGGTTCCACATCAGGCCTCAGTTTGAAGGCCAAGCAGGACAAAAGGTGACCAGTCCATCTTCTTGGAAATGTCATCGTATCAGTCCTTGACTTGACGCACATCCCGAACCCACACGCTTGTGCGTTTGGGTTTGTGTGTGCGCGCCGCGTGTTGTTTAGCTGATGGAGTTGCAGTCTCGCTTCGGCACGGACGAGCGTTTCCGGATGGACTCTCGTTTCCTGGAGGAAGAGGAAAAGGAAGACGACAAGGAAGAGTCGGGTCAGATCTTGTGATTGTTGGATTCGGACCTTTTTTTTTTTTAACCCCATTGAAATCTTTTCATTTCATCAACCTAAAATGTGGAGTTTTTTTGGGGGGGTTCTCCTTAATTTACATTTCCTTGTATTTTTTTTCCTATAAGTAGAACTTTTTTCCTTATAAATTGTCAATGTTACCCCCCCCCCAAAAAAAATGTCCTTTAAAATGTACAGTTGTATTCTCCAAAAATGCGCTATTTTATCTCAGTTTTTAAAATTTTTATTGTATTCAAATTAATACTACCCGCCCCCCGCTGACCCCTTCTGTCATTTTTTTTGATGTACTCTTCGAAAATGAGGACTTTTTTTTTCCCACCTCCAGGCTCTTTTCTGTTAGGCTCCTTTTAAACCCACTTTTTGTCGTTGTTGTTGTTGTTGACGACGATGGCGGTGCAGAGGTCAAAACAAGCGTGGCGGAGGATGAGGACTTTCTGCAGGAGGAGAAGAGGAGGAACATGTCGATCCTCCAAGGCCTTCTGGGACATCAAGCCACCAGCGCAAAGCCCTCCGCCAAGACCAAAACCTTCAGGTCAGCCTCACACTCAGGCGCACGCACGCACACGGACGGAAAATGTTGGGCTTCTAATAGTTTGCCGTTTTTCATTGCAGTGCCTTTTGGTTTCAATTTGACTTTGGTTTTACATCGTCAATTCCTTTTTAGGATATTTTTAGATCACGTTTCATCGTTTTGATTTGCCTTTTTTTTTTTTTTCGAAAATGCTTTGTTTTAGTTCAGCTTTTGTTAGTTTTAGTGTTAGTTTTAGTTTATTTTAGTGTGCGGTGTATTTGTGCAGTGCGAGATAAAAAATAAAACAGAAAAGGCCACAATAAGTATTGCAAAATAAGATCAAGTAAACTACAATTCCCATTCGTTGCATCGTTATTTGTTTTACGATAAGATATATATATTTTTTTTGTTTAACATCATGACCTTAGAAAGTCTATTGTTGTACAAGACATGGTGCGCGTGCATTGTTTGCAGAGACGTGTCGGCGTTGCACTACGACCCCAGCAGAGAAGAACATGCTGCCTTCGAAAGCAAAGCAGACAGCAACAAGAAAAGGTATGGAGCAAAAATCAAATACCCATTCAAGCGTATTCATCCTTCAATCGAACTGTGATGAAATCATTGTTGATTTTAATCAGAAAAGAAGAACTCCGGCTCATTTTTAAATTGTATTTCGAATTCATTTCAATTGGACACTTTTTCTTTCAACTTGAGAAATCTCTGTTCCGTCACTCCCTGTTCTATGGTTATCATCGCCAACGTGTAGCGCCCGCGTGACGTCTCCCCCTTCGCGCTCTTTGGCAGCAAGTCGGCACGACGGAAGAAGCGCGAGGAGGCTCAGAAGCTTCCGGAGGTTTCCAAGGAAATCTTCTACGATGTGTCGGGCGACTTGAAGGCCATGTTCGGACCCGCCGCCGTCCAAAAGCCTGCCGAGCAGCCCAAGGCCAGCTGGGATGAAGAGGAGGAGGAGGAAGAAGAGAAAGATGAGGAGCAGCCCGCACCGGAAGAACCTTCCGGGTTTATGTTCTCCTTCTTCGGCGACGAGATCCAGACAGCAAGCGAACACAAAGGTGCGCCGCTTGACCCGATATTACGAATGAGAAAAGGGCCATTTTAGCCCACTGAGAACTTCAGTGGGCTAACCTTGTTGTGGGATTTAAAAGGGACGTCAAGGCAAAAAAAAAAATTGCGTCCCCAGTAACCCAAACGCAAGGCCACTGAGAACCTCAGTGGGCTAACCTTGTTGTGGGATTTAAAGGGGACGTCAAGGCAAAAAAAAAATTGCGTCCCCAGTAACCCAAACGCAAATATTGCGTTTGAAAGTTCCATTTCATTCATCACACGGCTGCCATTTTCTTCCTATACTGCCCCCTGCTGTTGACTGAAATTGATATCAAAGTTCTCTCTGGCTCACTTTGAAAATGTCACAGATCACCCTTTTTCTCCATTTGGCCACGTGACGTTAGCGATGCGAGCCCGAGGGCACTTTGATGTAGGATTCAGTGGACAGAACAGGGGGGTGTTGCCATTTTTAACAACTGCTTTTTTTTTTCTGGTCATATTTCAATTTATTGTCTTAAAATGTTCATAAAATAATTCTTTTCAAATTGTCTATCTTATATACAAAGTAATTAGATGTAATGAAAGTCAGTTTTTGGGAGGAAAATTACTCCTTTAATCTATAAAAATGATTATAATATTGTATGATATGCAGGCCACGGGGGTTAAATTTGATCCTTGTACAATTCAGACTTTTTTTTTGGAATGTTTCAATCTATTTTCATTTGACTTTTTCGGACTGTATTTTCATCCAATTTACTGCTTCATAAACGTTTAATTTGGATCGAATAATGATGATGTTTAAGAGTACAAGGCAGAGAGCATCCAGGCCGCAAAGGTAATGCGAGCCCGAGGGTACTTTGATGTAGGATTCAGTCCACAGAACAGGGGGGTGTTGCCATTTTTAAAAACTGCTTTTTTTCTTCTGGTCATATTTCAATTTATTGTCTTAAAATGTTCATAAAATAATTCTTTTCAAATTGTCTATCTTATATACAAAGTAATTAGATGTAATGAAAGTCAGTTTTTGGGAGGAAAATTACTCCTTTAATCTATAAAAATGATTATAATATTGTATGATATGCAGGCCACGGGGGTTAAATTTGATCCTTGTACAAATCTGACTTTTTTTGTAATGTTTCAATCTATTGCAGACTATATTTGTCATGTTTCAATCTATTTTCATTTGACTTTTTTTGGGGGGTGGGGGGGATTTTTGACCCATTTTCTTGTTAAAAAAAAGACTTTAACACTCTTAAAATATTTGAAACTTGGGATGATTTTAATTGCCATAAAATTCGGACTGTATTTTCATCCAATTTACTGCTTCATTAGCGTTTAATTTGGATCGAATAATGATGATGTTTAGAGTACAAGGCAGAGAGCATCCAGGCCGCAAAGGTGTTCCGGTGGCAAAAAGACTCTCGCCTACAAGACAGCAGCGAGGATGAGGAGGACGAAGAGGAAGTGCAGCAGGAGGAAAGCGGCGCGGCGCCTAAAAACACAACGTGAGAATGAAACGCCACTTTTTTTCTTTTCCTGTCAAGTGCAGATGGGTCAGGCCGGTATAAATGTGAGTCTAATATGAAACCATGTTTGGAACATCTTTCAAGTTGACAACTCATGCCAAGTGGAAAAAAAAAGAGATGTTTTTGTCCACAGAGAGGAAATGGTTTCATCCTCAAACAATTTCTTCTTCTTTCGCATTGATGACAGCAGATTGTCAGGTAACGTGTTTATTTTTTGTGCGTTTTCGTTTGTTGTGTAACATGCGTATCAACATTTCCTCTTGTTGCGTTCGCGCCATGTTGAACTTTTGGACGACGTGGCCGGTCAGAGGGTCCCAAGTGGTTCTGTCGCTCGTCTCAGCTGGAGGAGGAGCGAGAAGAGTGGGAGGAGCGACGGACGGAGCTCAGACAGGTGAACGGCGTTCACGTTTGAAGGCGCTCTCGCCTGGCATTGTGCATACGCTAAAAAATGTGTTTTCTCTTTCGTTTTGCGCTCAGGAGTACCGCAAGAAACACAAGGATGCCTGCAGGAAGCTCAAATCCTCACAAAAGACTTGAACGCTTTCAACTTCACACAAGATTTTGTTTTTTTGTAAATAAAAGGAATATACAACCTAATTTCAGAGAAAAGCAAATATGATTTGTCTAATAATGCATAGCTATTCATTTCTCTTCTTTTGGCGTTTCTTTTCTCAGCTGTTGTCTTCCATACCTCAACACATTTTTTGACAACCACAATGTGTCTTTGTGCCTTCAAGTATTTTCAATGACATCAGCCAAATAAATGAGGATTTGTATTTTCCCATTCTGTGTTTCGATGCATTTTTCAACATTAGGCTCAGGGATGCATAAAGAGATAGAGAAAAGGAGAAAAAGAGGGAAATGCTTGACAGAAAATCAGGTCCGAATTTACAATCAAAGAGAATCAGAATTAGCAATAACCGCGTGTGTTATTTCTTTCGAGGCCCCCAATTACTGACTACTTCCGTTTTCTGACGTAGTACTTTTATTTGGAAAGACATAACCGGAAGTTTCGCTACTTAGGAGTGTTCAATTATTGGCCCTTAACTTTTCACATCAGCACCGGGAAGGTCGTCACATTGATGGAAGTTGTATGAGAAAAAGTTCTTGTTTTTTTTTTTATTCGTCCGTATGTTCTAAAGCGGGAGTTATTAGTTCATCTCCCAACATGAGCAAGCTTCTCTTTCTTTTGTTTCTTTTTGTCGGGTCGGCGGAGCTCCGGAGCCGCGTCCGCCTCTCTCCGCCGCCTTCCCCCGGAGAGGCGCACCTCGGCCGCGGCGAGGATGCCTCGGAGGTCCCCGGAGCGAGTCGAGACGTGGCTCCCCGGAGACGAGAAGACCCGAGCCGGTACTTCACGACCCCGCGGGTCACGAGCACCGGCGCGCTCCGTGCTAATTCCTCCACGTCGTCGTCGTCGTCGTCGTCCTCCGGGCCACCGCCGCCGCCGCCACCGCCTCCGCTGCTCTTCCCCGTGGCCGACGGCTC